GCTGGTCCCTGTTATGTTTTTTGTTTTCATTGCAGCAGCGTCACAATTCACCTCTCTCCTGTAAGACGAAGTCTGATGAATGTAAGGAGTTAAATGGTGTGTTTGCTTGCTGTCGCATGGGAACAGCTTGTTGACCCTGATCCTTTCTGTTTTGCTGTGATCAGGGCTGTGCTGTGGTATGAGAAGTATGAACACTAGTTCCCAGAGCCACAGGCACACGCAGTGGGCTCACTTCCATGGATTTCAATGGCAAACCAGGCAGTGCAAAGGGGGGTTCAGTTGATACCTTCATGAGAAAGCTGGGTGCCCAAATATCTCTGTAGACCTGGATTTTTGTGCACATCAGCCCTATCCTTGTCCTGCTGAGTGCAGTATGTTGTACAGTATGTGCTCTGTCAGATTGCAAGAAACATCTCTGTACTGGAGTATGCCAGATTCTTCCTGAAGTTCATGTGTAATTTCACATGTAAATTAATGCACATTTGTATTTTGCTGAGCATCGTGCATGCACGTACCCACTCAGCACAGCTACACATATGCCCCTACCTTCTGAGCAGTACCCGAGCACTCTGTCCGTGAGACAGCAAATGCTGGCACAGCCTGTTGGTGGCAATCCACAGCCCTACAGTACTTGCTGTAGAAGTTGGATGGCGTATGTTGGTGCTGACAATCACAGTTCACCCTCCCCCAAAATTGCCTGTGGCTGTTGTCGGTTGTTATGCCCTCTTTTTCATCTGCGCTGTCACATTGCCACAAGTCTGAAAACTCCTGAGCAGCCTCAAAGAGATGGTGGTGGGCGATGGCACTGAGCACCTGCCAGGGGTTCGCAGCACCTGGCATGGACTAGTCCTGCTTCCAGGTGTGCGGAGGCACACCAGGGTTTTCACTTGCCTTCAGTGTCCATGCAGAGCCTGTCCCTGCCACACTGCTGGAAGGAGTTACTGCCACCAGGTCCGGTTTGCTTACTTGGTCTTCTTTCCTTCCCCCAGGAGACCGTTGGAGAGCCCTTCTTTCTGTTGATCTGTGCAATCAAACAGCAGATTAACAAAGGGTCCATCGATGCCATCACGGGGAAAGCCAGGTACACCCTCAATGAGGAGTGGCTCCTGAGGGAGAACATCGAGGCAAAGCCGAGGGTGAGTACCTACACCCTGGGCGTCTGACGGACACGTACTTCGGCAGGGTGGTTGTGCAAGTGGCTGATTTGGTACCTGTGCAGGTGCAATAACTGCGTAAACTATACACCTGCGCAGGCACCTTGCCGCTGCCTAAGCACACGACTACAGAACAAGGCTCGTAACGAGTATTTGTTTTCTTGTCCATCCCTTGGTGGGTCACCTAAGTACCTCAGATTAGGGGTGGAAGGAGGTAAGAAAATTTGTTCTGTTATAGTCAGAGAGTTAAAGCAACAGGTTTACCATTCCCGGCAAAAGAGCATCTTCACTAGCAGTGGGAAGGTGCTGGCTGCAAACCTGAGTCCCGGGGTGAGGGCTTTGCCCAGGCTGTTACAGGAGTGGTGCTGAAAAGCGGTTCTGCAAAATGCCTCCTGTGGGAACAGGGCAGATGAGGGCTGTGCGTGTGAAGGGCTCGGTTCCCTCCGGTGCCTGACACAGAACTCAGCAGACGCCTTTCCAGAGCCTGGGTCAAATCCTGCTTTCAATTACCTGGCATAAATCTGGAGCAGCTTCACTGAATTCAGTGGGTTACCCCAGATGCGCATCACCGTAACTCAGAGCAGGTTCAAGCTCCACATCCTCTGCAGATTCCTGTTACCAACTGACCTGTAAATTTACAGCGCAGACCAAGAGGGGTTAGCAGCAGGGCGCAAAGTATTAGCTTTCTCGGCAGAAATGGTGACTTCATAAGTCTGAGCAGGGGAAGCGTGGCTGCTTCCTACTTTGTTTGCAGGAAGAGAAACAAAAGTGAACAGGGTGTGTTGGAGGAAGGAGAGCAATGCAGGGTTAGTGCTAACTCACAGGCACCCCCCCACATTGCTGGTAACTGAACCTCTGCTTTAAAAAACACGTGCACAGTATACGATGTGAAAAAACATCTTCATTTAATGCTGTGGAAAAAATTGGACTTCATCTGTGCATTCACATTGTTCTCATAGTCAAGGATGCTAATTCGGTATTCTGATACTTAAAAGCAGTGTTTGCAAAGAAACCTCTAGGCTGTGAATATCCCAGCCGTAAAGCTCAACGTGTACCAGCGTTCTGTCTAAGAGGCAACTGTGCTTATGCCCAGGCAATGCCCCTGGCATCTGCAGCTTCCTGCCCTGGGCTTGCCAGTCAGGCAGTGAGATGGCTTCAGGGTTGCAGCCACCACTAAATGAAGGCGCAGTGTTGCCCTCCAGGTTCGGGCACACCAAGGAGTGGAGGACTCAAGCAGAGGCAGAGCTGAGGCTGACCCAGAGCAAAGCCCCCGGGCAGGAGGAAGACGCCATGCTTATAGCGTTTGGGTCTCCACAGCTTGCGAAAGAAGGAGGCACCTGGACTCTGCCTCTCCTCGCTTGACTGGTGTGGCAGCAGCTCCCAAAAGAGGAGTGGGTTTTTTATAGGAAGAGTCACTCTCATTGCCCTGCAGCTTTCTGCTGTGACTGGAGCAGTATCTGGGCATCTCTGAGGTCTGAGCTGGTGTTGGTGGCAGCCTGCAGCCCCTTGCAGCTGCTTGTCCCGCTGTTCAGTACATTCTCAAGCAGGTTATTGGGTGGTGCTGGTGGTGGACTCCAGTGTTGCAGCAGACCCAGCCTGAGGCGTGCTTAAAGCTTATTTAAACAAAGGAGCTCGGCCCATTGCGTCAGGGAGAGGCTGAGCAATGAGCCTTGGCGGTCCCATTTGTCACCAGTCGGAGCCAAGAAGCTGAGGACATGACTGGTTATGGGGGCTGACCTTTCCTTCCACCCCTGAGGTGGTCTCTGCATGTCAGGGCTAAGGCCCATTAGCAAGGCAGCCGTGAAGGGAGGTTGCAGTGTTGTTCCCTGTGTCCTCCTGGCTCCATCAACAAACGGGGCCTTCAGACTCCAAGGGCTATAAATCAGCGCCCTTCACTAGTGGTAAAGCCTAGATAACTGTTGCTGATACTTAAAAGCAGTGTTTCCAAAGAAGCCTCTGGGCTGTGAATATCCCAGCCGTAAATCTCACGTGTACCAGGTGTCTGTCTGAGGCAACTGTGCTTATGCACAGGCAATGCTCCTGGCATCTGCAGCTTCCTGCCCTGGGCTTGCCAGTCAGGCAGTGAGATGGCTTCAGGGTTGCAGCCACCACTAAATGAAGGCGCAGTGTTGCCCTCCAGGTTCGGGCACACCAAGGAGTGGAGGACTCAAGCAGAGGCAGAGCTGAGGCTGACCCAGAGCAAAGCCCCCGGGCAGGAGGAAGACGCCATGCTTATAGCGTTTGGGTCTCCACAGCTTGCGAAAGAAGGAGGCACCTGGACTCTGCCTCTCCTCGCTTGACTGGTGTGGCAGCAGCTCCCAAAAGAGGAGTGGGTTTTTTATAGGAAGAGTCACTCTCATTGCCCTGCAGCTTTCTGCTGTGACTGGAGCAGTATCTGGGCATCTCTGAGGTCTGAGCTGGTGTTGGTGGCAGCCTGCAGCCCCTTGCAGCTGCTTGTCCCGCTGTTCAGTACATTCTCAAGCAGGTTATTGGGTGGTGCTGGTGGTGGACTCCAGTGTTGCAGCAGACCCAGCCTGAGGCGTGCTTAAAGCTTATTTAAACAAAGGAGCTCGACCCATTGCGTCAGGGAGAGGCTGAGCAATGAGCCTTGGCGGTCCCATTTGTCACCAGTCGGAGCCAAGAAGCTGAGGACATGACTGGTTATGGGGGCTGACCTTTCCTTCTACCCCTGAGGTGGTCTCTGCATGTCAGGGCTAAGGCCCATTAGCAAGGCAGCCGTGAAGGGAGGTTGCAGTGTTGTTCCCTGTGTCCTCCTGGCTCCATCAACAAACGGGGCCTTCAGACTCCAAGGGCTATAAATCAGCGCCCTTCACTAGTGGTAAAGCCTAGATAACTGCCTTTGTTCAGCCTGATTTCCAGCAGTGCGGGGCCCAGAGCGCACCAGCAAGAGCTGTGCAGGCGCAGCAGCCTCCATGTGTCATTGGGAGCCAGCAGAGCTGGGCAGATCACCCCTAACCCAGCCTCTGCCCACAGAACCTCAACGTCTCCTTCCAAGGCTGTGGGATGGACTCCCTGAGCGTCAGGGCCATGGACACAGACACACTCAGCCAAGTGAAGGAGAAGATTCTGGAGGCCTTCTGCAAGAACGTCCCCTACTCCCAGTGGCCGAGGGTGGAAGATGTTGACCTCGGTAAGGACCGGATGCATTGGACCAGCCAGTCCTTAAAACTAGATGAAGCACCTGATGTTGCATGGTAGCTCTTGGTGTCTTATCAGAGGGCAATGGGTGAAGCAGCATTGATGAGAGGGCAGACATCAAGGCAGCCTTTTCCTGAGGATGGTCTTCAGGAATGAGTGATGGGACCAGATCCTGGTGGGCAGGAGGGAGCCATGTAACTGGAAAGAAGCTTTAGGAAAGCCCAAGTTGAGCAGAGGGATGTTTGGACTTGCACCCTTTAAAGCCAGAACAGGTACCCTCTAAAACAGTGCTGAGCCTGCACATGCCTCGTTAATACATGTCTCTCCATAAGCAGCTATCATTGCGCCCATGGACTCCTGTCCTGCCATAGATTCAGATCTGCCATTTATGTACCCAGAGGCCAACTTCTTATCCCAAAATTTAAGAAGGATCCAAGCCCCGTGCTGGCAAGAGAAACCCATGCTGTCTGTGGTGCCTCCGTGCCATGCAGCGGGCCATGGAGACGCACCCTACCTGGCAGCAGTCGCAAGGCGTGATGTTCAATGTAGTCAGTGCCAGAGCGAGTCTCCGTAGAACGCCCTGGGCTGGAGCGGTGATGGGCCCCCGCTCCTTTCAGCTGGCACATGTGGCATGTCCCCCGCTCACAGATACATGACCAGCTCTGCCCTGTGGGGAGCTGCCACCAACCGTCGGTGGCCATGTGCAGGCCAACGCAGCATCTCACCTGCCTGGTGCTCCACAAGGCAGGTCCCACATGACCTTCAGGGGCGAGAGCGGGAGAGGGGAAGGGGGAATTGTGCTCCTCCCTGTCTCTCTGAGCAGAGCCTTTGTCACCTCTCCCAACTCCATCCAAGTCTGCTCTAGTCTGGAAATCCCCACTCCAGGGGCTAACCCTGGAGGCCATTGCTAAACATCTGCTCTGGTTTCACAGAGCCCCAGAGGCCTTGGCAGCAGGGCTGTGCAGCCCCCCAGCGCTGCGTGGCTGGTCCCTGGACCCCCAGACCCTGCTGCACGTGCCTCCTTCGGGCTGGTGTCTCACTTCTCCCTTCTCTGTGTTCAGAGTGGTTCGCCACTAGCACTGACAGCTACATCCTCCGGGACCTTGATGACACCTCGGTGGTGGAGGACGGCAGGAAGAAACTCAACACATTAGCACACTACAAGGTAAACCTGCAAGTGCTGCAGGAAAGCTTTGCTTCCTTGGAGCCTGCCTGGCCTCAGGGGCAAGCTGCAGTTCCCCCTCCAAAAACAGGATTATCAGGAACAAGCAGGGAGGTTGCCATAGCTCCGTGAGAGCTTCCGGGGAATAGACATCTGCCCTGGCGAGAAGCTTGTTAATATTGCAACACACTGAAACTAATTAAACACTCGTCATGCAAAACAAGTTATTACTGACAACAGAAAGAGAAGGGAAAAAAGCTCCTATTCCCAACGGCCACCAGCTTGGCTGATTAGTATCGCTCTGCTCTTGATCCGT